TCTTTTACTTCTTAGGGTAAATTTATTCCTAGTTATTTATGTATTTATTTATTTAGTGTAATTGTAAAAGGGATTGTTTTCGAAATTTCTCTTTATGCTACTGTTACTAGTGTGTAGAAATGCAACAGATTTCTGTATATTAAATTTATATCCTGCAACTTTACTAAATTCGTTTAGTCAATAGTTTTTTGGTGGAGTCTTTTATTTTTTTTTTAATTTTTTTTAAGGATTTTATTTATTCATTTGATAGAGACAGCAAGAGAGGGAACACAAGCAGGGGGAATGGGAGAGGGAGAAGCAGGCTTCCTGCTGAGCAGAGCCCAATGCAGGGCTCAGTCCCAGGACTCTGGGATCATGACCTGAGCCGAAGGCAGACGCCTAACGATTGAGCCATTCAGGTGCCCCTGGTGGAGTCTTTTAGATTATATATCATATCACTTCATCTGCAAATAGTGACAGTTTTACTTCCTCCTTGCCAATTTGGATGTATTTTATTTTTTCTTTTTTTTCTTTGATTACTGTGGGTAGGACTTCAAGTACTATGTTGAATAAAATTGGAGAGACATGGACATTCTTGTCTTGTTCCTGATGTTAGAGGAAAAGCTGTCAATGTTTTCACCATTGAGTAGGATGCTGGCTGTGGGTTTTTCTTATACGGCCTTTATTATGTTGAGGTATGTTCCCTCTAAACCCACTTTGTTGAGAATTTTTTTTTTTATCATGAATGGATGTGGTATTTAGATTCTTTTTCTGCATCTATTGAGATGATAATATGATTTTTATCCTTCATTTGGTTACTGTTGTGTGTCACATTGATAATTCGCAAATATTGAACCATCCTTGCATCCCTGGAATAAATCCTACTTGATTATGGTGAAAGATCCTTTTAGTGTATTGTTGAATGAGGTTTGCTAATAATTTGTTGAGGATTTTTGCATCTATGTTTATCAGGGATATTGGCCTGTGGCCTTTTTTCCCCTAGTGTCTTTGGTTATGGTATCAGGGTAATGCTGGCATTGTGGAATGTGTTTGGAAGCTTTCCTTTCTCTTCTATTTTTGGAATAGTTTGAGGATAATACATATTAACTCTTTTTTTTTTTGAAGTATAATTGCCATTTATTTTTTTTTTCCTGGAGAACAGCTTTTCTTTGATTCTTAAGGATTTTAGCTCCTTATGTGGGCTTTGGTGGAGGTCGTGGGGCAGCACCCATGGGTCTGAATCGGGGTGGGGGTGTTCAGTCCTTCTGTGCTTCACAGGAGCAATACCTTACTACCTTGCTGTGAGTGGCACAACTCACGCAATAATATAGTTTCACATACAGCTTGGGAAGCACATAGGCATTGAAGACAGTCACTTCAGAAATGTCCCTGAAGGTGGTGGCCTCTACTGTGGTCTGAATAATGAACTTCTTAATGGCCTTGTGGGCATTAAGATTAATGGGCATGCAACAGGCATGGTTGGTACAGTGAATAGGCCCCATGTGGCTTCAGCCCTTTTTGGCACAACCATTATTCCTTCTCTCCTTGGTCATCTTTGAAGCAGGACCCTGGAGAGCTAGATATTAACTCTTCTTAAATGTTTGGTAGAATTCCCTTGTAAATCCATCTGGCCCCGAACTTTTGTTTGTAGGGAGTTTTCTGATTACCACTTCAATTTTGTTACTAGTAATTAGTCTGTTCAGATGATTCAGTTTTGAAGATGGAATGTTTTTAGGAATTTATCCATTTATTCTTGGTTTTTCAGTTTATTTGCATATAATTTTTCACAGTAGTCTCTTACAATCCTTTGTACATCTGTGGTACCAGTTGTTACTTATCTTTCATTTGATTTTATTCATTTGTGTGCCCCCTGTCTCCCTCTTTTCTCTGTCTCTCTGTCTCTTTTTATGTCTGTGTTCTTTTTTTTAAGATGTGTCTAACAAAGGGTTTGTCAGTTTTATCTTTTCACAGAACCAACTCTTGGCGTCATTTATCTTTTCTATTGTTTTTTAGTCTCCATATCACTTGTTTCTGCTCTGATCTTTATGATTTCCTTCCTTCTACTAACTTTGGGCTTTGTTCTTTTTATAGTTTCTTTAAATATAAGATTAGGGTTTTTTTGTTTTTAAGATTTTTCTTGTTTCTTAGAGTAGGCCAGGATTATTATAAATTTCCCTCTTAGAACTGTTTTCACTGAGTCCCAAAGATTTTAGACTGGTTTGTTTTTATTTTCATTTGTCTCCATGGATATTTTTATATCCTCTCTGGTTTCTTCATTGACCCATTTGTTGTTTAGTAGTGTGTTGTTTAGCTTCCACGTGTTTGTTCTTTTCCAGTTTTTTTCCTTGTAATTGATTTTTAATTTCATACCATTGTAATTGGAAAAGATGCTTGATATAATTTCGGTTTTCTTAAATTTATTGAGGCTTGTTCTGTGGCCTAACATGACTTATCCTGGAGAATGTTCCATGTGTACTGGAATATGTGTATTCTGGGTTTTTTTTGGATGGAATGTTCTGTGCATATCTGTTAAGTCCATCTAGTTTAATGTGACATTCAAAGGCACTGTTTCCTCATTGATTTTCTGACAGGATGATCTCTGCATTGATGTAGGTGGGATATGAAAGTCCCCTAATACTATTCTAGTTAGGGTCAGTCTCCTTTATGTCTGTTAATACTTGCTTTATGTATTTAGGTGCTCCTGTGTTGGGTACGTAGATATTTACAATTGTTATATCCTCATATTGGATTGATCCCTTTAGCAGTAGGTAATGCCTCTTTTGCCTCTTGTTAGAGTCTTTTTTTTTTTTTTAAGGCTATGTCCTCATTTTTTTTCTTTCTCTCTCTTTTTTTTTTAAAGACTTTATTTCTTTGAGAAAGAGAGAGCACAGAGGGAGAGTGAGAGGGAGAAGCAGGCTCCCCACTGAGCAGGGAGCCAGATGTGGGGTTCGATCCCAAGACCCTGAGATCATGACCCAAGCCCAAGGCAGACGTTTAACTGGCTGAGCCACCCAGCTGCCCCTACAGTCTTTTTTTTTTAAAGTCTGGTTTCTCTGATATAAGTATTGTTACCCTGGCCTCCTTTTTTGCTCTTATTTGCATGCAATATCTTTTTCCATCCTTTTACTTTCAGTCTATGTGTCTTTAGGTTTGAAGTATATCTCTTATAGGTAGGTAGCATAGATGGGTCTTGGTTTTTTTTAATCCATTCTGTCCCCTTATGTCTTTTGATTGGAGCATTTAAACCATTTACATATTTACATTTAAAGTAACTATTGACAGGTAAATACTCATTGCCATTTTGTTAATTGTTTCCTAATTGTTTTTGTAATGCTGTTTCTTCTCTTGCTGTTTTTCCTTGCAGTTGATGATTTTCCTTAGTGTTATGCTTAGCTTTCTTTCTCTATATTTTTTATCTATTATAGGTTTTTGGCTACCATGAGGGTCATACATATGGCGGGTTTTTGAGAGGGAAAAGAAAGACTTAGAAGTGTTGAGAATGTGGAGCAACTGGAATTCACATTCAGTGCTTGTGAGGATACAAAATGGTACAGCTGCTATGGAAAACGGTTCAGCAGCTTCTTATGGTAAAGGGTATGCTTAACTATATGACCAAGTGGTTCCATTCCTTGGTATTTATGGTGGTGGAGTATGAGCTATGTACCCACACAAAGTCTTATACAGGAATGTTCATAGCTACTTTATTATATTAGCCCCAAAGTGGAACAACCCATATAGTCATCAACAGATGAATGGATAAACAAATAATGGTATATTCATATAGTGGAATTCTATTTAGAAATAAAAATTAGTGAACTACTTATCTATGCAGCAACATGGAAGTATCTGAGACAGACAGTGCTTGGGGGGTGGGGAAGCCAGACGCAAGAAACTCCATATAGTATGAATCTATTTATGTCAAACTCTAAAACTGGTAAATTTTGAGTTAGAGAAAACAAATTAGTGGGTTGTCTAGGGCTGGGATTGGGACTGATAGGAAAAGGGTACAAACAAACCTTTCGTAGGTGATTGAAATGTTCTATATTGTGATTGTATCATTGGTTGCAGAGTTAAAAACATTTGCTGTAAGTCATTGAACTGCATACTTTAAATGGGTGCATTTTATAGTATGTAAATTACACTTCAAAGGATTTAAAAAATATTTTAGGAAAAATTTCTAGTAGTGTCTAAGAGAAGAAATTTCCATAACTTTAAGTATATATTTCTCGAGAAGTCTTAAAATATCAGTAGTATTCAAAATAAGAGTTAAAGTCTTTCAGCAAATATTCATGTACATTATACTCTATCAAATATCAGTATGAAATAGTTTGCTTAGAATTTTAATTTTATCTTTCTAGGGTGTGAGATTTACAATTTTAAGGATATCCCAGATTTCAGTAAACACTTTGAAAGAAGTTTGGGATCTATTTTTGTCAGTGTATTGAATCCTGACAGATTGAAAGGGATTAATGTATTAAGTATTGTCCTGCGATTTATCATTTAAGATCCTTCCAACTGCAAGTTAACAGAGAACCAGACTAAAACTGACTTACACAGTGGGTATTATTTCACATAAGATTTCTGGAACTAAAGTGTGTTTTCTAGGATTATAGTAGGGTTTTACAGTTCACTACCTGAGCAGTATCATGAAGGACCCAAGTTCCTTTTATCTTTCTGCCTTACCATTCTTGCTATGTTGGTATCCTCCTTTCAGATGAGTGCTTTGTCATTCTTGGATGGTTGTCTCAGATTTAGGCATCATAGATGATAACATTTAGGGAAGGAAAATGGAATATTCCTGTTTTGTATTCATTTTTATAAGTGAGGAAAACTTCCAAAAAGCCCATGCTCATGGCTTACTCAGTTAATTGGAGAAAGGGATAAGACCACACGAGTGGCTTGAATCAAACATTATTTACAACCTAGGGTTGGAAAGATGAAGAAATTGGCAAACAGAAGGAAGGTAAACAAAATCAGATAATCATTTTTTTATTAAAGTAGGGAGGAGAATGGCTGAGTAACCCAACGGTTTGCTGTATTAGATTACACTAAGACTCTGAAGGACAGGTTTAGTGAACTAGACAAAGAAATAGAAAACGTCTTGATAAAAGTGTATGTCCCCAATTTATGAAGGTGTTGCATTCCAAAAATTCTCCACACATTCATGGCCTAGTCATTAATTTATTGCTCAACTTAATGCAATATAGCTTTTATCTTAATGACACTGTAGCAGAAATGCTCTTCCTAAAGTCACCAGTGAGCTCCTAATTACCAATCACCTGGCCTTTTAAAATCAGTTGAGGGGTGCCTGGGTGGCTCAGTCCTTAAGCATCTGCCTTCAGCTCAGGTCATGATCCCAGGGTCCTGAGATGGAGCTCCACATCAGGCTCCCTGCTCAGCGGGAAGCCTGCTTCTCCCTCTCACACTCCCCCTGTTTGTGTCTCTCTGTCAAATAAGTAAATAAAATCTTTAAAAATAAATAAATAAAATCAGTTGAAATACTACTTGACTTCATTTTGGTCTGTAGCATTATTAGCCATTTTCTTCTTTTTTTTTTTTTATAAAATACATCAAGCAAAGATTTATATATCTATTACCTACATTTAATACATTATTATTTCTCTATTTGCTTCATGTTTCTTTTAAGAAAAAAAAAATGCCACCGATACAGTTGAAACTTCGCCCCATTCCACTATCTTGAGGTTGATGATTATCTTTTCCAACCATGTTTTTATATTTATGGTAGTACTCCCAACTCTTAATTGCTGCTTCCTAATTTCTTTGCCTGTTTATCCGTTATCTGTAGGTATCCTGCACCATTGTATTAATTCTTCATACTCCTCTAAATCTGTACCTTGTGAAAATGTTTTTGTTTACTTTTTCTGGTTTCTGCCTTTTGCTGACATATTATCAATCCTCTACAAGACTTCTCAACGTGATGCCCCAAAGGCACCTAAAACTAACATCTGAATGAATCATGTCCAGAAATACCTGCTTCTCTCTTCTCTACCTCAGTTATGGTATTACTCTACACCCAGTTCAAACTAGAAACTTTGGAGTCATCCATCCCATAACGCACACATCATAATTCTTTTAAAGTGTTCAGTAAATAATGAATGAATGAATAACGACTGAATGACTCCTTTTTGAATGAATGAATAAACGACTCCTTTTTCTTCATATCTCCTCTACCTATACCCAACTGATCATCCACACTTCAGTTTTCTACTTATGTTTACTTCCTTAGTATTTTCCCCTAATCTTTGGCTCCATGGTGTTTCTGCTTCTTTCCTTTCTTGTATGGGGTAGTGCAGGTTTATAACTTGACTAACTGCCATTATTCTTCCTTTCTTTCTGTTCTGTAATTCATACTTCCACCACAGTTATTTTTAAACACATATTTTCTCCTGCTGTTCACTTTATAAAAGTCTTAAATAACTCTTGGTGCTCCCTGGATAAAGTCTAAAATAATTCCCTGTATGTGTAAATTGTCCTCTACCTT